TTTAATGCAGGAGTAAACAATTCCTTGACACGTTTTGGTTTTCATTTATTATGGCACAAAATTTCATAGGCTACAGCCCACTTTATTATATCGGTGGAGACTTCTCTTTCTCTCTCTCTCTCTCTCTCTCTCTCTCTCTCTCTCTCTCTCTCGTCAATACGTTTGTCTGTGTGAAAGGTAACTGCGTGAAAGGTAACTTTCTGTCATGCACACTCTCAGGGCAGATCTGCATTTTATGCCTGGCCCGTTAAGAATACTGCACAAGCCATTCACCCCTTCCTGCCTACAGCCTTTTGAAAATGAATTCTGCAGGCATATAGAATAGAATAGAATAGAATAGAATAGAATAGAATAGAATAGAATAGAATAGAATAGAATAGAATAGAATAGAATTCTTTATTGGCCAAGTGTGATTGGACACACAAGGAATTTGTCTTTTGTGCATAAGCTCTCAGTGTTCTGCTGCTTCAATTCAAAACTACACTGCTCAAAAAAATAAAGGGAACACAAAAATAAGACATCCTAGATCTGAATGAATGAAATATTCTTATTAAATACTTTGTTCATTATATAGTTGAATGTTCTGACAACAAAATCACACAAAAATTATCAATGGAAATCAAATTTATCAACCCATGGAGGTCTGGATTTGGAGTTACACTCAAAATTAAAGTGGAAACAAACACTACAGGCTGATCCAACTTTGATGTAATGTCCTTAAAACAAGTCAGAATGAGGCTCAGTAGTGGCCTCCACGTGCCTGTATGACCTCCCTACAACACCTGGGCATGCTCCTGATGAGGTGGTGGATGGTCTCCTGAGGGATCTCCTCCCACACCTGGACTAAAGCATTCCCCAACTCCTGGACAGTCTGTGGTGCAACATGGCGTTGCTGGATGGAGCGAGACATGATGTCCCAGATGTGCTCAATTGGATTCAGGTCTGGGGAATGGGCGGGCCAGTCCATAGCATCAATGCCTTCGTATTGCAGGAACTGCTGACACACTCCAGCCACATGGGGTCTAGCATTGTCTTGCATTAGGAGGAACCCAGGGCCAACCGCACCAACGTATGGTCTCACAAGGGATCTGAGGATCTCATCTCGGTACCTAATGGCAGTCAGGCTACCTCTGGCGAGCACATGGAGGGCTGTGCAGCCTCCTAAAGAAATGCCATCCCACACCATTACTGACCCACTGCCAAACCGGTCATGCTGGAGGATGTTGCAGGCAGCAGAATGTTCTCCACGGCGTCTCCAGACCCTGTCACATCTGTCACATGTGCTCAGTGTGAACCTGCTTTCATCTGTGAAGAGCACAGGGCGCCAGTGGCGAATTTGCCAATCTTGGTGTTCTCTGGCAAATGCCAAACGTTCTGCACGGTGTTGGGCTGTAAACACCCCACCTGTGGATGTCGGGCCCTCATACCACCCTCATGGAGTCTGTTTCTGACGGTTTGAGCAGCCACATGCACATTTGTGGCCCGCTGGAGGTCATTTTGCAGGGCTCTGGCAGTGCTCCTCCTGTCCCTCCTTGCACAAAGGCAGAGGTAGCGGTCCTGATGCTGGGTTGTTGCCCTCCTACGGCCTCCTCCACGTCTCCTGATGTACTGGCCTGTCTCCTCGTAGCGCCTCCATGCTCTGGACACTACACTGACAGACACAGCAAACCTTCTTGCCACAGCTCGCATTGATGTGCCATCCTGGATGAGCTGCACTACCTGAGCCACTTGTGTGGGCTGTAGACTCCGTCTCATGCTACCACTAGAATGAAAGCACCGCCAGCATTCAAAAGTGACCAAACCATCAGCCAGAAAGCATAGGCAGTTAGCTCTAGTGACCACTGGAGTATGCCAAGCAACTGCCGCTAATCATGGGTGGGGCTCCTATTAGAACAGGACTAAGTGTTGGCTACCATCTGCTCTGAAAGGCTTAAGAAAGGTCAGGTTGGAAAATACACTGCTCAAAAAAATAAAGGGAACACTTAAACAACACAATGTAACTCCAAGTCAATCACACTTCTGTGAAATCAAACTGTCCACTTAGGTAGCAACACTGATTGACAATCAATTTCACATGCTGTTGTGCAAATGGAATAGACAACAGGTGGAAAGCATAGGAACTGAGAAGTGGTCTGTGGTCACCACCTGCAGAACCACTACTTTATTGGGGTTGTCTTGCTAACTGCCTATGCTTTCCACCTGTTGTCTATTCCATTTGCACAACAGCATGTGAAATTGATTGTCAATCAGTGTTGCTACCTAAGTGGACAGTTTGATTTCACAGAAGTGTGATTGACTTGGAGTTACATTGTGTTGTTTAAGTGTTCCCTTTCTTTTTTTGAGCAGCGTATTTTCCAACCTGACCTTTCTTAAGCCTTTCAGAGCAGATGGTAGCCAACACTTAGTCCTGTTCTAATAGGAGCCCCACCCATGATTAGCGGCAGTTGCTTGGCATACTCCAGTGGTCACTAGAGACTACCAGGTTGCTATGTCCTCTCCCAGTCAGCAGTCTCCATCTTTTGATTTTATAATCTTCTAGTTGATCCAGTAATGGGTTTTAGTGAATGAACAATCCTCAATCCCAGAAGCTCAGGCTCCTTTCAACCCTTATATCCCCCAGTGGCATCCTTTCCATTTCTGACCCAGGTGAAGCCTGATTCTTTTGCTTTCCTCCCCCTGCTCACAGGACTGCCAAACTTCCCTTCCCTTTATTTTTCAAATAATGTTGCTACTTAGCTATTCTAAAACTGGATTGCCAATTTGTGCTTTCCACAAAGTTTCCATGCACCCACAGGAAGAAAAAAACAACAACCCACCCCAACCTTTTCCTTGTTATTGTATCATTTAAAACTGAGGTATAAATATGACATATGAGAGTGGGGAGAAAAGGAATCCACATAAGTGGCAAAAGAAATAATGTGGGGAGGGGAATGAAGGCATCTATGTAGGGAAACAACTGAGAAAGCAAAGACAAGGCATGGGGAATAATGGAAAGAAAGGCAGCCGCTGATAGATACAGTGAAATCTGCCTTTCCTTCCTGGGTGGAAGGGTAAGAAGCAGGAAATGATCAGTCAGGTCTTGCAGTGGCTCCCTGGTACCCTATATTCCTTTGGCCTGAAGTCTTTTACAGGTGGACCTCACTCAGTGACTGCCCTGCCGAATGACTGTTCAAAGTTACACAGCTGGCCGGAAAATTCTAGGAGTTGAAGTCCACAAGTCTTAAAGTTGCCAAGTTTGGGGACCCCTGTTCTATATAGTGGCCTTCACTGAATCAAGGAAGGAGTAGTTATGATGGGAAGATCATAATAATGTCAATAATTTCTAAATTACAGAGTCCATTGCAGTAAACAGGATTGAGGATTTAATTCAGTGACAACCTTTTCTCCTTGTTTCTGAAATAGAGATTATATTCTAGAATGGCCCTAAAACAGTTTCTAAAAAACTCAGCCATCATTTCACTTGTTACCATCCTACAAACACATAAGGCAGGGAAGGGGAAAGAGGGGTAAAAAATGTTAGAAGCGAATAAGCCTTCATCCATGTTGGTACTGATCCAGATCGAACCATCACCCTTTTCTTTTTGCATGTGCCCAAAATAGGACTCAAGACATGACAACTGCAATCCAAGCCATCCAATGACCACTCTTTCCTACAGAGATTAAAATGTTTGCTACAACCGAGCAAATTATCCATTATTATATATATTGCAGATCTGCCAGGAGTATGTGTAAGTTTGCCATTGGCAGAGGCTGGCTCAGTGGCATTACAAGATGACCAGCTTAATGTGGAAGATGCTGCCAGTTAACAATCCTGAAAGGGGAAAAACATTAAATTTCAGCATCCGATGACTTTTCAAAGGCTATTTAAACTTCACAGTCTTTTTCCTTTACAAAGTAACAAACAAAAGGCAGGAAATCCTTTCACTTGAACTCCCCTGTGGAACATCCGCTTGGAAAGTGAACAGAAACTCTGACCTGCCACACCTTACACACACACACACACAGAGAGAGAGCTTCCTCACAAAGCTTCTTTCAAAGGACGCCCTGTCCAAGACAGCCTCAGTCCCAGCTCCCTGGAAGGCTCCACTCATTTGCCTCCTATCTGAAGTTGAGGAGGGGGCTTGTTGGTCGGGACTGCAGTCCAACCCATCCAGTGACCACTCTTCCGATACTTAAGGTGCATGGTCCCAAATCTTCCCACTCCTCCAGCGGCTCTCGGAATAGGAAAGTTCTCGTAAAACCCTTGCATTCCGCGAAAGAGGAAAGTAACTGGTCTCTGAATTCACTTTGGCCTTTAAACTCTGATAACGGAAAGGGGAGGATCTGTCTCTAAACCAACTCCTGTAAGCACTACAAAACCTGCACTTTCGTTATTTACCCCACCCCCTTTTCTCTTAATCCCCCTTTTTCTCGGGGCAGTGTCTCGATCCTCAGCCATCCAAGTAGAGTTGTTTGGAAGTCGAGTCATGGCAACGGGGCTTCTTTTCTCGTTGGATCGAAATGTTTCGCTGCTTGTTCCGCTCCTCGGAGAAGCGAAACGTTTCGAACACCCACACCAGAAGCCCAGTTGCCCTGGCACAACTTCCAGATTGGATCAGATGACATGGCAGCAGGGTTCCAATATCTAAGAGGCTGCCACAAAGAAGTTGGGGCCAACTTATTCTCCAAAGCGCCGGAAGGCAGGACAAGAAGCAATGGTTAGAAACTAATCAAGGAGAGAAGCAACTTAGAACTAAGGAGAAATTTCCTGACAATTAGAACAATTAATCAATGGAACAAGTTGCCTCCAGAAGTTTCAACACTGGAAGTTTTGAAGAAGAGATTGGACAACCATTTGTCTGAAATGGTATAGAGTTTCCTGCCTGAGCAAGGGGTTGGACTAGAAGACCTCCAAGGTCCCTCCCGACTCTGTTATTCTGTTCTGTTCTGTTCTGTTCATCCGCCCCAGCGGTGAGGGCCAACGCTAAGGCTCCCCGAGCACCCGAAGTCCCGCGTGTTACCTTGCCGTATTTCTTAAGTCTCCTCTTGCGCGCCTTACTTGCGCGCTCCGTTTTCCTTAGCGGCGGCGGCGGCGGCGGCGGCTGCTCGCCGTCCCAAGCGAGAGGCTGGTAGTTGTCCGGGAGGGCGGCAAAGGCCACTGTTTTGGAGGCGCAGCCAGACAACTCCTCTTCTTCAGGCTGGCCTTCGGCAGCCGTCGGGGTTTCCACTTCCCGCCGTTCCTCCTCTGCGAGGATGGAGACCTTGTCCTCCGCGGGGTTGCGCCGCCGGCGGAATTTGGCCCTCAGAGAGCCCGCCACGGGCATCGCGCTGAGGGAGAAAGGCGAGGACGCTTTCGAAGTCTTCCTTCCCCTGTACCCCCCCGAAACAGGCCGCAGAAGTTCCCTTCGCAACTGAGCCCGACAACAGGTGGAGCTCCAACAGGCGAGCGCGGGCCTCTGCCGGGTCTCGCCTCAGGAGACAGGGAGAGGCGAATGAGGAGGGCCCTTCTCCCTGGGCAGGGATTTTGCCAGCACCACTCCAGAGTTCAACGTCCAGCCTCGCGTTGCACTGTTGACACTGCCAGCCAGCACAGCCTTGGCGGCTCCTCCGGGCTTCCAGCGCCTGACCGTGCGCAGGAATCCAGCGCTGGGATTTGTATGATCAGGCCAGGAAGGAAAGGCTGGGCCTTTTTTTTTTTTTTTTAAAGGCAGAAATGTCCGGTAGCTGAAACCTTTTTTCATCGGATACTAAAGGAATTTGCTTTGGAATAGGAAGAGTTGTGGTTCCAATTGCCCTCCTACTCCCCCCCCTCTTCCTTTTGAACCTTTGACTATGTAATCTGGTTTCAACTTTCTAATAGAACAAGTAAAACTAGAATTAATAAGATTAGGTAATTAAAAGTTAAGAATCCACTTCTGCAGTTATAAAGGCCTACTTGAAAATAACCCAGTTTCTCAATGCAGTTCAGAAACGAGAGAAGTTAAGTTCTTATGTCTGGGGACAGCAGCTAAACCTTCCTAGGTGATCATGAAAGCCCCAATTCACAAAGCATTAGGTCGGCTTACAGTGAGGCTTTAGAAATATTTAATGGCTTATTTTGCAGAAGCTGCTGCTTTGAAGTCCTTTTTCAGTCAAGATGGCTCTATGGAGCCAAGTCAAGAAATACAGTGTCACAGTTACTGCTATTTCATTGCCATTTCCCTTCGCTATTAGTTTTATCTCTTGTAAGTATCTGTGGTGCATGTAAATCGTATATATTTTGCTATATTTTCCTGCCTCTAATAAGTAATCTTATTGATCTCATCAAAATGAAATGAAATCCAGTTAATATTTAAAATATGAAGAACCTCATGAGCAACTTTTAATCTTTTGATTTTCTGGCAAAATGGAAGTACTGATTTTTTTTTTAATTTCTTAAGTTTGATTTCTTAAGTACCAGATAAGCTCCTGATATTTGCTTTATTGGAAAATTTATTGAGTGAAAGCAATAAAATTGTTTATTGCTTTTGTTCAACATATTTACCTGTCCAGTTTAACCTACATTTTTACTGTTTTGGTGACTTGTCATCCAAGTACTAAACAAGACCATTTAACTTCTATATTGAGGAATGTGCTAAGACTTTCATGTTTTAGTCATTTGTCCATGTTACATGGATTTGATGACAGTTCAAATCAAGGGTTTAAAATATTCTCAACCAGGTTTACTCCTGTTAAGTCTCCTCTTCTGAAAATATCAAGAAATCCAATTATCTTTTACAAGTCAACAACCTTTTATAAACAGTTCTTGATTGACTTGATTTTGACAAATTTTGTCCTGACAAAATTAAGTTAATTACAGAGAGAAAGAGAAAAGAAAGTATATTTATGAAACAGGAGGTCCTCTTAACAGGAGGTTAGTAATTGTACAATGGCTAAACTAGACCTGCAATTAATCCACATTCTATTTATTATGCAACAGGCAGGCTAGGGAAGCCTGAGCAGCCATTCCCACCACTTTCTATTTACATAACAAACAAACCAAGAGGCTGGTTAATTTAATTCATATAATCAACACTCAAGCTTAATTTAGCTCTCATAAAAGAACTCAGGGGAGTAAAAGAAAAAAAAAAAGATTTAGAATAAATACCACCATTCTTTTTCAAATTTCTACAGTGGGCTTTCCATGCAGACCACATTGTTTTATAATCATGTTGCCTGTCTGAATTCCCAATAGTCATCCGGCAATAACAAAATTCAGAGTTTGAGATATATCAGTGCACAGTATCTATAAGAAATTTGTAGCACTGTGCTATGAACAAACTTTCGTGGCTTTAGGGTTCTATCTTATATTGTATGCTATGATTCCTTCTTTAGTTATATCCTGCTTGCAGAAGTTGATTCACAACTTTCTGATTTCTTCAGACAGTTACCATAGGAATTCAATACAGTAGATCAAGTACAGTATTATCCCATGCCTCAATGTCCAACTGCATTAGAATTTCCAAATACTAAAAAGAATCAAGAATTACACATTTCCCCCTCAAAGCAATCATCAAAAAGTGCCACAAGGAGCAGTTCAGTTTCTGATGCTCATTGCAAGAAAATGTCTACCTACTGTATATTCTGAGGTTGAATGAAAATACAGACCTGATCTCTTGACTTAAAATTGCTTAAAAGAACAGTAGGCATCCGGCATCTGCAGGTGAACTACAAGTTCATTCTGCATAGCCCTGAGTGTGCCATTTGATGGGACCCAGGATACCTGTACCGGTAGTCCTTGACTTATTATCATTTTAATGACCAAAGTTATGACAACACTGAGAAAAGTCATTTACAAATGGTCTTCACTCTTATGGCCATTGCACGTTGCAGCATCCCTGCAGTCACATGATCAAAATTTGGGCACTTGGCAACCAGCATGCATTTCCAACAGTTGAATGTCTTGAGGGTCACATGATCACCATTTACAAACTGCCCAGGGACAAAGTTAATGGAAGTTAGATTCACTTAATGACTGCATGATTCACTTAACAGCTGCAGCAAAAAAGATCATATACAACAGGGCAAAGCTGACTTAACAATTGTCTTACTTAGCAATGGAAATTTAGTGCTCACTTATGGTTGTAAGTTAAAGACTACCCATATTGAACAAATCAAGCTGGAGATCTTTCTCAAGATGCAAATGATTAGGCTCAAATTCTCATTTTTGGACAAGTTTTTATTTATTTATATGTCACATTTTGATCTGCCCATCTCCCCCAGAGAGGGTTTATGCAAAGGCTTCCCTGGCAAATTTATAAGGTTGGAAGAAAGAAAATGTCTACCCAGCACTAAGGTGGATGCATTCAATTACAGTGGTGATGGGTGCATCAGTGGAGGACCTGAATAACCAGGGTGAGAGCAGAAAATCTAAGTGGTCACTGAATTAATGGAACTTTATATATTTCATAAACTTTTTAAATATATTTTTCCTAGGGTCCATTTTCCACATTCACTTGCCTACTCATGGAAAATAGCTGTCATTTGCAGAGATTCATCTAAAAGTATTATGATATGAAAGGAGACCCGTCTCTCAAAATGAGAGTGGTTACCCTAGGGTGCTGATGCCTTATCTGATGTGCGAAGCAACTAGAAGATAAAATCTTCAACTATTTGTGAAGTCTTTCTAAGCAATTAAACCTCTATCTATCCAAAGCTCAATGGTCTTGTTTTCCCAAACAGGCAAATTATTTAACCCAAATGTCTTGATTCAGCTTTATAGCTATAATTATTCAAAAAGTTGCTTTATATCATTTTGTAGCACTCAAGGCATGCTACACTGAGATGCTGTGGAACTTACAGTCACAAAAACTAAACTAGTGAGGTAAATCTAGTTAAATGTAATTTTAAAAATGAAGCCTTTTATAATCACTGAATTAGTGGCTATTTGAAACCCACATTATCTCTCCATACAAATCTTTTGTTTGGCTATGTGGATCTCTTGTTTGCACTGAATGTTCATTAATGCCTGAAAGCCGTGTCAGGAACAGTTATTAGCAACTTTGGTCTGAAAATATAAAGAATTTAGACTATATTGTTTGCACCTACATTTAAACCCAGTGGGAACTTTTTGTAGGACTTCTACATGATTCTAAATGAAGCATCTGATTATAATTAAATTACAATCTCCTACATACATTTCAGAAGTTTTGAGGCAGAACTATATTACAACTTGGTTTGGGTTCATCAAACTGAAAAAAACCACTCACTGGTGTGTATACTATAGCTATTCTACTGGCATGGGTTTCCACATTGTACTAAGCTAAAACCAGCCAAATAACATTAAAATTTAACATTATGTGCAAGGCAAAACAATTTGGGGCTATGGATTGTAAGGAATGTGGCTTTGGTGATCAAAAACGCCTATACACACATCCATACTAAGGCATAAAGCTGATGTAGATTATTCCACATTCATTTTTCACCACTGAAAAAATCACCATTGTTTTTTATTTCTATTGTTAAACTTCCAAGTATACTTTGATAATATGGTATACAAATGTGCTATATAAATCTTTTAAAAGGAAGTTTAATTAATGTAAGAACTGGACTTACAAAACCGAATTACTTCTAAAAATAAAAAGTAATACATTCAGGCTAATTTTATATAGCTGTTTGGAAATTAAAAAGGAAATTTTGATAACTCTGCAAGTCTCATCATATAACTGAAGTGGCATGGGAGATTTGCAATCAGTGGATGGATGGATGGATATTCACAAATCTCTAAACTTCTCCTGATGCAAAATATGAAACCATTACGTCTTCCCTCCCCTTTCTCACAATTCCTTTGTGAACTACATCCAGTACAGATTGCTAGATAAAGAATAAGGCGACATATTTGATAGTATGGAGATCTGTTCAAGTAAGTTTTTAATAGAGTGCACCAGTGAATGTGAATTAGGATGACTTTCATTAAAAAAAGTTTAAAGGAATACCAGATAAAAAGGAACACAGTTCTTTCTTGCCAAAACATCATCTGTTTCCTAAGGCAGTACATGTTCATTGCTGAGCAGAACTGTTACAGAAGAGCTACATCACAGTACAGTACAGCATCTCAAGTCCATCTGTCAGAAGCCATTTTCAAATGGCACATTTAGCTACACTTACAGCCTTCTAAATTCAGGTTACAGAGTTTACCACATTTTTTTTTTGCTTTTAAATAAAGTGATAATTTGGGGTGATTTTTCTAATCTTTATAGGAGTGTGCAGATGGGGTCATATGTTGAAGTTACAGAAATTACAACATTAAATAACATCGCACAACCAACTGCTATGATTAATTCAGTACAAGATAATCAATATTAAAAATGTACCATGTTCTAATGGTTTTGCAGTTTGAATCACTAATTATGAAGGGGTTTTCTTGTCTAGGCAACTGCCTGCATACAGCTGCACTTCATAGGTGTAATGATTTATAATAAATACAAGAAAGTGGGCAAAATATCCAAAACTCAAAAATACATGGGAACAGAATTTATACAATCACATCAAACAATGTAATAAACAATTTAGGCTTAAAAGTATATGAAGATCCATGTATTCTTTGGGGGGAATTATTCTAAAAACCAGTTAATTCCTGAGGTGGCATTTA